TCTCTCACCTGAACTAGGTGGTCTTCTATGTTTCACCTAACTAGTCTCCTAACTATCTCCACTATATCCTTTCTCCAAAACATCTTTAATTTCACTAAGGCACACGTCTGAATATTCTCTGCTCAAAAAACTTCAGTGGCTCTAATTACCTACAGGATAAAATACACTCACAGCCTGGCATGTAAAAGCCTGAACAATCTGGCTCCAACCCAAACTGCAGTTATTCCTTCCACGCCATGACTTTTCCCACTGCAGTCTTAATATACCACAGACTGGCACAAGAAATTACTGTAAATGGGAATTTGGTGGTCTTGTGGAAGCTGCAGACAACACAGAAAAAGTTCAGAAACTCAGGAATGTTCAATTCAAATTTTACAATAAGATACAATAAACATCTCAAAAAAGAAGAGAAAAAATTCTGTCTTCTCTCGTAAAGAGAGCCAAAAAATTTTACATGGATTTTCCAGATCATGGGGGCACTGTGCCCTGAACCCCCACAATGTGGAAGGGATAACTGTAGTTTCCTATTTCTTTTCCCTTTCACGATATACATTCTGGCCAAATATGTCATGTCATCCAGACTCCCATTGAAGCACTCCAGTTACTAGGAATTCATTACCTCAAAATGAAACCCATTAGGATATTAAGCTTAATAAATCTGCCCTCTGCACTTCCACTTGCCCTTTTAGAGCCAAGCAGGACACATTTATTTATACTTCTTTCACTTGGCAACCCTTCAAATACTTGAAGGTATCTACCACTTCTCTACCATCTGCTGTGCCCCAGAAGGTCTTCTCCTTTCCATCCCTAATTCCTTCAGCTGATCACCATACATCATGGCTCCAAACACCCTCCTGGTCACTTGTCTCTGGACACATTCTTAGTTGTCAGAGTCCATCTGAAATCAATCTTCTAGTTTTACTTACTGCATCACTCACAGCACCTAGAAGAGTACTGCTTAGAGCAGACCTAATCAATGAATGATCTGTTGTCTGTTAATGGTAGTGGTGATGAAACTAATGGAAAGAACACTGGTCTTAGGAGTCAGAGGACCTCGGTTTCAGTCCCAGCTCCGCCACTATGTGGTCACCTTAGAGTGGATCATTTACCTTCATCATCTTAGTTTCTTAAATCAGCAGAATAGAAGCGCCTCGAGGGTAGAGGCCATTTTGTTTTTATCTTTGTGTCCCATGCACATAGAAGGTACAATTAATGTTGAATTACTGTTGAATCCATACAACATGATTACTACTTACCCAATCTACCTTAAAGAGCTATTGAAGAACGTGCTTTATAAGCCTAAACTGCTATAGAAATAGACTTCAAGAACCCAGGCCATGCCCATGCTACCATATGGCATCAGAGGAATTTAGTGGAGGTATATACCATATATACATGTACAAACATACTGTAACATATATGTGCAAATGACAGTCATTTAGTTGGAAGGACACACCTACTCCAATGATAGTTTTCCACAGCTTAGTTACCCACATTACTAACTCATCTTGGCTACGGAGTGACTTCTGTCTATCTTTAAAAGCCCAGTCTACCTTCAAAAGATCGTTTGTCTGCCACCACAGAGAATAATCAAGAAAATGTGACATAATCAAATGTTTTGGGGCAACGAGGTACCATTGGATTACATGTTATGATCTCCAAAGGGCACTAATATGAAGGAGACAACACTCATTAGAATATCAGTTTTGTAGTCACATGTGGAGGGGAGGACTCCACATAGAGAATTCCCAGTGTTTAAAACTCTCTCCATCAATGCAGACTGAAATTTTAACTTATAATCTTAAAGAATTTCCTGGGAAACTTGTGGTGTGATTTGCTCAAAGTGAAACAGTTACCTTGTATCAGAGAGAAGACTTGAACCCAGATCTTTTTCTCTCCTCTCTCTCTGTGTATAACATACATATGTATAATACATGTAATATGTATGTGTATAGTGTATGTAATGTGTATATATATGTATAAGCTATATGGCACACACATGTACATAAATAACACATGTGATATATATGCCTATATGTGTACTGTATACATATATACACACCGAAATAACATTGTCTCTTGTCATACCTTATAAGTGAAAACACTTTCCATATTATATATGAGTAGCACCATCAATATTTAGCTCTAGAACAGTATTAAAATTAGATGGGTGGGGGAAAAAAACTGATGATGCTTATGAGCAGGCAGCATTTTAGAAGTGGTCATGAAGTCATGGAACCAAGACACTCAGAGATTAAACACCTCTGGATAATCTGGCCCAGGAATCTTTTTATACCTTCTGCATAGGCTTAGCTTCTCAAATTCTTGGCTAACAGGAAAGATGATACCCAACTACACTTCAAATCCAGAGAGGACAAGGTCAGGTGTTGAGGTGTCCTTTTCTAAACTAATGCATCCAACTTGACCAAGCAGGTGTTGGGTGTCCTTTTCTAAACTAATGCATCCAACTTGACCATGGAACATGGACCGGGCATGAATACCCTGAGATTCCAGTGAAAATGTGTTTGTAAAACTAGGCCACCTGTTGGGAGTCTCAGTGCTGAGCCTGGTACCTCATCTGTAAAATAAGGATAATACTACCGATAGCATTCAAAGTCCACTTCTAACATACACTGGATATTGTGACCCAAGCAACTCTCAACACTAAATGCTTCAGAACAATTAACAACCCCTCACTGCTGGAGGTATTTTCCTCATTTAGAATTCCCTACACTGATAAACAAAATCAAATAGATCCAAAAGAAAAACATATACATGTATTATCTATCTGCATCACAAGATTGTTGTGAGGCTGAAGTCAGATTGTACTTTGCAAAGATCCAATAGCAATCATACGCAAATTACTATTATTTCTTTCAGACATTCATTCCACTGTCCTCCACAGAAGAGAAATCCAGGTGCAGCTCAGCATGATGTCAAATGTGGGAAGGATTGTGGCCCAGACATAAGGCAGTACTGGTGATCTCACTCTTCTCAAGCCTTGAAAATAACCACAATGTCAGTCTGGAAACTATGCCTTTATCCTGGACAACAGTTTTGGAGGATCATGGCCTCTCTTGCGAATACAGAAATCCTGCCATAAGTTAGACTAGGGTAGGTGGGGACATGAACAATCTCACTTTAGTTTTGGTCTTCACATAAAAGAGAAATTGAAAATTGTGTTCAGAATCAGGGGAAAAAAAATGGTCCCTGAAATATATCCCAAATTGAGCCACAGGCCATTTGCCTTGGCCATCATCATTGCTGTCTGGTCCAAACAGCCCCTGATTCCCATGGTAGCCACGTTTATTTACTATTGTGATACTTAACACCACTTGGGAAATAAGAAAAAGTCAACATTTATATAAAGATATAATTCAAAAACAACAACAAAAAACAAGTTTGGCGGTCAAAGAAAGGCATCACACTTGCAAAGTCACAGGCATCATTCTTTCCCTAGTCTACAAACATACAAAACTTAAAAAAAAAAAACAGCCTATACCATACTAAAACTTACATCATGTTAGGCATGGACATAAAACATAGCAATCCCTGAACAAGTAGGGCACCATTATAAGCAGGAATGACTGTTAGTAAATGGCCCAACACAAAATTGACTATGCCCCAATTATGGGGGCCAAGGGAGGAGGGTATTAATTAGTAGAGGAAACAAATTTCATATAATAAACACATATCAATAGACAAAAATAAGCAATGCAAAGGGGGCAATGGAGCTTAGGTAAGATGATGCAATAAAGCTAGACAACACAAGCGTTGACGAGACACTGCATGGTTGGGAACTGAAAAAAGGGGAGGGAGAAGAAGTGCGGGGAGAGAATGAGGGAATGAATGCTCTCACAAGGTTGAACTTCCCAACAAAAGAGAAAATACTGAATGTTTTCATGAACCCCTAGTGAATTTATCGGTCAATTGTTGTCATTAACGCTACCTGGTCTTGGAGGACCGGAAGAACAACTTCCCCATGACCTTTTGCTGCAGCAATGAAAACCAACGGGATGAAGCACTGCATCTACTGGTTGGTGCTGGGGGGAAAGAAGAAAACTATGGGGAACATAGTTCTCAAGACAAATTACCCAGCATCATCAGGAGTATTAGTCAAGAGAATTCCCAGATGAATTCTTTTTAAAATGGTCTCAGTCTAGCTAATGTTGTCAGGCTGATAAGAGATAGGGCTAGGGAGTGAACCTGTGATTTCATTGGCTTAGGGAACTCCCAGGTGAGGAAATTCCTTCTACCAATGCAAGTCAGCCCCTTCTCTCCAACTTAAAGTCTTAAGTGAGTTGCTAGGATCACTGAGGTTAAGTGACACACAAAAAGACACATAGTCAACATGTTTGAAGAATCTAACCTTGAACTCAGGTCTTTCTGGATACAAGGCTTTTGGGGGTGGGAAGCTCTAAGAAAACCATGAAAGCATTTCTGAGAGAATGTATTTACCCCGATAAATTAACTATTTACAAACTCTGAGAAAATGATGAGACATATTAGAGGAAAACCCAACCCACAAAAAAACCTCCCCCCAGAATGCCTTTGGAACATAATGCTACTGGAACAAAAGAAGATGGCTTCTGCCCTTAGAAAAGCCTTAGGAAGAACATTCAAGAAGGCTCTGCCTTTTAGAGGCTTCTCTCAGGGGTGCAGCAGGCTAAGAAAGTTCTTTAGAACTAAAGTATCTACATTGGCTCAGGGTCACTATGACTTTTGCACAGTTGAAGTTCCATGTTCTCTTTGATTCAGATTATCTTGGCACCCAGTTAAATTCATCTGTGTAAACACACACACACACACACACACACACACACACACACACACACACACACTCTCCTCCTAGCTTTCCTTTCTCTCTCTCTCAATATCTCTCTCTCTCTCTCTCTCTCTTCTCTCTCTCTCTCGCTCTCCCTCCCTCTCTCTCTCCCTCCCTCCCCTGGGCTTCCCTTTAGAAAGATAAGATACCCAGGAAGAAACTTCTTCACAATGGGTGTCACTGAAACAGAATAGAGACTTCTCTATCTATTTTTGTCTTCCCAGTGCTGGATTTTCTCTATCCAACAAGGTGAGCACCAGTGAAGCAAAGGAGGAACTCAGATTACAGTAACTGGGAGCCAAGAAAACTAGGCTCTAAGACAGTGATATCCTGCACACGTCGACACTGAGACGACTCTTAAATGTGCCCTAACTCGGACATGCTGAAGTCTCCCTGGGTCTTCCCCCTCATGTTTCCTATCACTCTTTGCCACTTACAGGTCAGTTCTCGGCTTCTAGGTCACAATACCCACCACCCTCCCCTGGTCCCAACCACCACTGGAAGGAAGCCTTGGTGGACTTCAGGCCTTCTGAGCTTTGTTTAGTGTCCCTTCTTCCTTCTGCACCAGCAGGAAGCAGAAACAGAATGACTATCCAACTGATAGCCAAAGGAAGGCTTAATTCGGAGGGAGATGATAGTAGAGAGGCAGTCGAGAACTCTCAGGCCAGCTTGTTGATTTCTTTCCATATTGATGCAAAGTTAATGACAGTGAAATGGATTCACTTTCACAGCTGGGGTCGGGCTTTTATCTTCAGAAGTGATGGCCAGCCTTCACAGCCTCAATGTCCGAAATCAAGGTCCTGGCCAGGAAGATGCCAAATATCTGAAACCAAAACCAAAGGGCTCATGATTAGTTGGGGGGGAAAGGAAGAAGACAGCAGGCAGGATAGGAAGACAGGGCAGCAGTGAGGTGGTAGAGGCCTCGCTCAAGACAGACGCCTGCCTCCAGAGCCTATGCAGAGGACTGCCAGTAGACAGATGGCAAAATAAATAAATCACATCAACATTCTTGGCTACTCCCAGAGCACAAACTATGTACCACCCAGAGAAAGTCTAAAGAAAAGACTTAGAAGTCTACATGGCAATCTTAGCTACTTTTCTGCTAAGACACCCAAAAAAAGACAAGCTAAAAACTTACGAATATCCAGAGTCCCCTAGCAGATTGAGCCACCTCAATTCGATTTGAGGGATTCTCCCACCTTTTTTTCCCAAGTACCCCTCCACCTACCTTTTTAAATAAATTTTATTACAAATTTAATAACAAGCAACAAAAATAAATTTGCAAAATAAAGAGAAAAACCATAACCCAGAACCCTTGCCCCTTAACAAGCAGAACCAAATGAATTAATAAGCAAAGAAAATGTTTTTGTTCTGTGTCCCCTCCCAGGTCTACCTTAAGTTCTGCAACCTTTTACTTCCTCTTCTTTCCCCTTTCTGCATCTTTTTAAAGAGTTACTAAGCGTGCACACATATTTGGTTTTATTAATTTGACTCTGAATCACCTCAGATAGGTCCTTCCATATTTCTTGTATGTATGTTTCATATTTATCATTTTTTATGGCACCATAATATTCTATTATATTAATGCAATGTAATTTATTCAGCCATCCTCCAGCCACTGAAGATTCAGGTTATATCCAATTTTTTACTATTATAAATTAAATAAAACCCCTATTGGGTATTTCTGTATAGCCACTTCTTTTTTTTTGTCACTATGATTTGGGGGGAGGGGTAAAAGGCTCAACAATGGAACTGCCTGGTCAGCTGTGTAACTCTTAATTATACAGGGCTTTCCATCATCTAATTTCCATTAATCTGCAGTTCCACCTTGGAGCAAATGTGACCTACCTACTCCCACCGATATTTCTATACAGATAAAATCTGGTTCAAATGAATAGCAAACTGCCTCGAAGAAGCAAAGTTACAAAAATGTAGTAACTAAGAGGTGCGGCCAGTCTTCGGAAGCCATGTGCTCGGGTTGTTGGTGTGTGAAAAGACTAACAGGTGTTGTTTCCACTCAACTAATTCCAGTCCCTCAATAATGTGAATTGATCACCTGATTATACATATATATCTGATGTCTTCTTCAGCACCAGCTAGCAGGGCCAGCTCCCTTTCCTCTGGCAATTGCCTTCTTCAGTCACCCATCAACTGTTCTACCAGGCATGCCTACACGTTGGCCTGGAACTGTGGGCTCACGGAGTCCAAAGGCTTACATTCTGGGGCAGCCAGGTGGCACAGAGAATAGAGTGCCAGGCCTATAGTATAGAGGAGCTGGCTTGAAATCTTGCCTCAGATACATCTTAGTTGGTGTGACCTTAGGAAAGTCATTTAGTTTCTGTCTGCCTCCGTTTCCTCTTCTGTGACATAGGGATAATAACAGCACCTACTTCCCAGGTTGTTGTAAGAATCAAATAAGAGAATATCTGTAAAGTGTTTAACATAGTGCCCAGCACAGACTACACACTATAGAAATGGTAACTATCATCATCATCATGATATCATCATTATTGCTATTACTGTTTGTTGTTGTTGTTGTTACTGTTACTGGTTTTTTGGCATCTAGTCCTAGTCCCAAGTACAAGCAGATGCTTAATAAAGGAATGAGGATGAGATGAATGTCGTAAGTAGGGAAACTGGCTTACAATCATGTGAGCCACCTCTGAGCCCAGGCAGAACTTCTGGCTGATATTCTATAGCAACAATTAAATCCACCACTTCACACCAACCAAGTAAACCCTGAGTAGATCTAAGCTAGGCATCATCCCCAACAATCTTTTTTTCACTTTTTTAATTCTCAAAAAAACTTTCCCAACTTTAAAACTATGGAATCATCAGTTGCTGACATAAGCATTTTAGGTCAAAGGCCTTTAACTATTTCAAAAGGATTTTTTAAAAGAGGATGGCTTGAAAGAAGAGAAATAGCTTCAGAAGAATCAGTGACCCCCAGGGTCTTCACCTCCTGCTTTGTGGAGTGGCCAATGACACCATGTACTGACCTGCAGTAAGGAGACAGCAATGAAAACGCCTGCCACTATGTAAATATTCCGAGGCAGCCAGGCCTCCAAAGCAGGGATACAGCCTTTGGTAAAGATGGATTCATCCCATTTGTTCTTTGTCTGCATCGGAAAGACATATTTACAATGAGCTTTACTCCTGATCTATCACATGTACATTCCTATTAGGTCTCCTGAGTGCTAAAACAAAAGGGAACACAAGGAAAAGGCAAGTGTCTAGAGCCGGTGTCCAGGGCGGGGAGGTTTAGTCACATGACCTCCAGTCATCTAACTTAGTTATCTACACAATCAACTCCAGAAGTTCCCTGTTGTTTCTAGGAAAAAATATAAATATCCCTATTGAGTTTTCAGAGCCTTCACAACCTGACCCCAACCCCAATCTTGACTCAGTGAACATTACTCCTCTTCCCCAAGTTCTACAAGCCAGGCAAACAGGCTTTCTTACTTTCCCTCACACAAGGCACTCCATCTCTCTTTCTCTATACTTTTCCAGTGGCCATCCCTCATATTGGGAAACCCTCCTCAACCATACCTCATGGAATTGAATCCCTCTATTCTTTCAAGCACAACCTTCTAAATGAAGCTTTCCTGATCTCTCTCCAACTATTAGTTGTTAACTATTTTGTATTTGTTGTTTTTATATTATTCTCTATTTATACTAATAGATGTATCTGCCATCTTCTCCATGAGAAGTAAGGTCCTGTTGAGTAGGAATTGTTTTGATCATTTTATTTGCATCCTCAGCCACCTAACATGATACCTGACAAAAACAAGTGTTAAATAAATGCTGACTGATAGATTTTATGTGATTCTGAGAGATCCATTCCTCCTGTCTGGTCTTTTGCAGGCACAGTAGACAACTGACCCCCAAAGTCTCAATTCTGAGAAAAGGGATTCCTAGAAGTGTAGTGATGATAGCTAGTGGTTGTCTGACCTCTAAGTTCAGTGACAATGAAGGTGACAGTGTCTTCTGAAGTCTTGAGAGTTAAGAGGGGCAAGATGGAGATAGTGAACTAAGGGACATATTTAAAGACTATCAAATAACTATACATATACATACATGTATGTGTGTGTGCATGTATGTATATCTATACACACACATATACATGTATGTATGTGTGTATGTGTAATACACACACCTATATGTGTGTGTGGACACACATTGAGTAGTTTCATTAGGAGTTTTCTTGACAAAGATACTGGAGTAGTTTGCCATTTCCTTCTCCAGCTCATTTTACAGATAAGGAAACTGAGGCAAACAGGTTAAGTGACTTGCCCAGGGTCACACAGCTTTGAACTCAGGAAGATAAGTCTTCCTGACTCCAAGTCCAGCACTCTATCCACTGTGCCACCTAGCTGCCCTTCACACACACACACACTATAGGTGGGTATACATTATGACAGTCCAAAAGTATACATGAGTAACATACAGATGTATAAATCAGCATTAACAATGTAATACACAGGTGTATAAAACAGTTAACCTCTGTTAGAAGGAAGAATGAATTTTCCAGCCATTTTAAAAGCATGATCCTATAATTACACTTTTTATTATGAAAGCTGATACCTGTATTTGTGCATCCTTGGCCATAATGTGCCACTTTAATAAAGTTCCCTCAATTATTTCCACACCATTTACAATTGATATGCTCAGGAGAACTGCCCAGCTAAGTTTTATCATGATAACTCTACGACCCTTTCTAGCACTAGCTGCTATCCTCACAAAATTTAAGATGGAACTAAATCAATTAATCAACATAAGTACCTACTAGACCATTTAAGGTACTGCTAGGCACTAGAAATACAAAGACAAAAATGAAATAAGCCTTGCCCTTCAAGAGATAGCATTGTCTCAGACTTACAAATGCCAACTGGGAAATTACACTGACTGTAACATACACCATAATATCCCAAAGCAAATGGAATAATCTTTGAATCTTCTGCACTGTTACTCTCTTTGGCTAACCATTAACTGAGGCACACACCCCTACTTAGCACAGGATCATATTCACTCTAGGCCTACTGATTGCACAATTTAATTCCATATGGCTAATCATAAGAATTAAGAAAGAAATATCAATACCACATTAACAATCACCAGCTATTACAGCAAAAAAATAAGGTAAATATTTTTCCTGGGTGTTTTTCCTTCATTTCATACCAGGTGACGAAACCAGTCTGACATACCTGAGATAACTGAACCCTGAATTAGTTCATTTGGGGAGCACTTGAGATGAGGGGGACTTGACTGACTCCAATCTCATGTTAATGAGAGCACCCAAACAAAATCATTTTCAACAAGTCTGACACCTTTTGGAAACCATGAATACATTAAACAGACCCTTTAAAAAAAACATTCTCTCCATGCCTAGAATAAGCCTTCTTAAAAGTATGAAAATAAGAGTTTCTGCAACTCCTCAACTCTTTTCTTCCCTCTTTCCCACTAACTTGGCAATAGCTAGTTTGGGAGCCTGTGGTTAATGAAGCTTGAAATTAACATGGATCACCATTTCCTTCTTCCTTTACACCAGCCCAGGGGATGGTGCCTGTTAGGTTACTTACTTGTTCTCACTATGCTCACCCCTACTGGGTTTGGAATCTCACCTCTGCACTCAGCTCCAAGTTTTCCCATTCTAATTTACACGTGTGTGCTAAATCGGAAGCTGGACCAAAGGGGATAACCATAAGCATTAGGGGTTCTCACCATAGTCCTGACATCATATCCACACTGTGTATTCACAACTTTTTGCTGCAAGAGAAATAAGAAAAGATTAGCACCATAGAAGGCTGGCAGGAAGGGGGAAGGAGAGAAGAAAGAGGGAGAGAGAGAAAGTAGCCTTCTGGGAAAAATCACAACCAACAGATTTCAGTAGCAATGGCCCATCCTAGTTCACTCAATTTAGCCATGCTACAAATACTGAGAGGCAAGAGCTACATTTAGGAAATGCAGTGCTGAGTGATTTGGGGAGAGAGCCTAGGGTAGAGAAAAATTATTTGGGGAGACTGCCTTGGGCGGAGAAAAATGTCCTGCACATGGCCTCAGTTTCTATCTCTACCCCCTTACTAGCCATAAGACTGTGGGTGAGTCACTGAACTTGTAAGCTTCTTCCTCCTAACCTGTAAAAGGGAGTAGAGGCAAACCTTCACTCTTTTAACTTGCCAAGGGTGTTATAGGCAAAGTACTTTGTAATATAATAATAAAGACCATCAGTTAGAGAGTATTTGAAAGGTTGGTGAAATACTTTACATAAGATGCTTTCACTTTATCCTCACAACAACCTTGTGAAGTAGAGGCTGTTATGATCCCTATTTTACAGATAAAGGAACTGAGAAGCCCAGAAAAGCAACCTTAAAGCACACAGCCAGTAAAATGTCAGAAGTGGGATCTGAAGTCAGATTCTCCTGAATCCAAGCTGAGTAGCTTTACAAAATTATATGTGGATGAGTTAATATTACAATTATTATTATACTGTTCTAATATAAACTAACTATAAACTGAGAAAATAAGAATTACAATGCTGTCTGTATTGACTAAAGAAATCACATAACTTCTCTGTGGCTTGTTTCATTCATCTGTAAAATAAGGTGATCATGTATTGCTGATTTAAAGGCAGGCAGACTTTAGTCAGTCACAAGTTTCTTGAATCCTAAAAAGCCCACACTCACTCAAAGGCTTGACTTGAATATGGAATCAAAGAAAGCTGGAAAGAACAAAACAGATTCTTCCATCAATTACATACTATCCCCTGAATTTACTGTCTCAGGGATACTGAACTCAGCAGAGAAAGGAAAGAGTCTATGGATCAGTAATAAAAACTAACCAATACATTATAGATTAGATGAGAGTAAAAAGTAAGACCCTAGAGATAGTTGCCTCTAGTCTAGACCATAAAACCAGAGTCAGGAGGGACCTTAAAGATGCCTCTCCCTCCTCTTAACACTTTAGACTACAAAGAACTTTCATAGCCTGTTTCTTATCTTTGTATTTTATTTATTTGAATATATATGCACTATTTCCTCCATTAGACTATAAAACTCCATGAGGAGAGGGGCCTCATCAATATGTGCATGCATGTATGTGTGTATATACGTATTGTGTCCGTATGTACGAATACACATATGGATGTTCTCATATGCACATGCATGAGTGCATTCATGTGTATATAGATATACACATGTGTGCAATCTCACATGCATGCATAACATAAATATGTATGTACATTTTATTACTGAGCCAGAGTTTTTCTTCTCTCTCTAATCTTCCTTTGTCTAGAAGAACCCCAAGTTCACTATCCCTGAGACAGAAAAATGCCCAATCATCCCCACAGGTGGTAGCATCTAATTGGTAGAATAATATACTTTGCTCTTGTTCTCTCCTGCTTCCTTTGAGTCCATATTCAAGTCAAGCCTCTGATCAAGTGCAGGCTTGTTAGGATTCAAGAGACTTGTGGTTGACTTCAATAGCCCCCTGCTTTCAAATCAACAATATATGATCACTTTATTTTACAGATGAATGAATTTAAGATACAAAGAAGGTATGCGAGTTCTTTAACTCAGCACAGTAATTCTTACATTCAGAGTTTGCAGGCTGTTAACTGGGCTACTAGGACAACACAACAATTGTAATATTAACCCATCTATGTATGCTTTTATAAAGACTTCTCAAACTGCTGTTATAAACACTATATGGGTACATGCGTGTGTGGATATGTATACATACATGTATGTGGGTATACATTCAAAAATATTCAAATAAATGACCAAACAAACTTTGTCTAAACCCCTGATTTGAAAGACTGCTAATTTGAGAGAAATCAGTTCCCAGGTACTGACCTAGGTATCAAGCTTTAAAGTGAGAAACTCCTTGGTTTGGGTATTCAACATTCTTATGATCTTCCATTTCTGGCTCCTGAATAAAGTTCATAGTATTCTAGTTACCCCGTGACTTGCCCATATGGCCATTCTCTGCACAGCAGCCCCCTTTCATCAGAAGGTGCCTTTCTAAGCCAATCACTTGTTTGGATACCAGAAGAGTGTGACCACAGAAACTAGAGCCACAATCAAAAGAACTTGGCACTTGTGCATGGAAATTGCAATGACTCCAGCTTTGCAAGAGATAATGGAAAGACCCTCCCCTTGGTAGAAAAATGGGGTATTACTAAGCCAAAATATCAGGCACAACGCCTAACATGGTCACTACATAGGGTCTCTATGCTTAAGTGTTTTGATTTTTGGTTTGTTTTTTTTTTAATCTTACAAATTAGGATTCCATTCTTATACTGGTATTTCCAGATATATGACTACGATGTAAAAACAACAGGCATCAATTTTTTTTTAACCTAAAGGAGAGTAAACAACCACAACTTACTGCAGGATCTGGCACACAGCAAGAAAACGGGACACCACATTTCTCTCTGCTATAGCTTTCTCCACTGCAATTAAAGTAAACATTGAGGTCCCAGTCTTCAGGGCCATAAGCCCCACAGCACTGGTTCTACAGAACAGACAAACAGAAATCATTGTCATCACAGCCATAGCACTGTCATTTAGTGACCAACACACCATAATTGACCCAGAGTAGATCAAATTTCACCTCTATTTGGTAGTGCCCCAGATTCCCCACTTCAGGAACCATTTTTATGACTATATCAATTCAATATCTCTTTCCTCTCAATCTCCACAGCACGTTGCCAGTTATCATTCATATTTGGCTTCTGTACCTTGTTACTTGGCATTAATTCACTTTTCATACATGCATCCATGTATGTAATCTCCCAACTGGACTTTAAGCTCCATGAGAGGACAGAAACTCTATGTTGTTGGGTTTTGCATCCCTCTTAAGCATTTGGCACATATCAGGAATGGTTGTCTATTGAATGACTGATACTATATTACCCATAAATATACTAGATATGAGGATAATTAGAATGTGTTTAGCAAAGTACCCTAAACACTCCTCTCTCTCTCTCAAAAAAAAAGACCAGTGGAAGGATACAGAATCCATTTTTTAAGGAAAATGAGAAGAATGGACAACAACAAAATGTTTTCTTTTGTTTAACACTAGCACACAAAAGAAACAACCTAGCATGTTGTCTACAGGCAAAGGAAAGAAAGAAAAAGAGACAGAGATATAGAAACAAAACAGAAAAGGCAACTGTGTGTCAATTTCCAAAAATGGGACAACAGCATCACATGAGAGTTTCTCCAATGGTAGGCACTGCAACATATAATCCCATGGTAGAGACAAGCAAAATTTGCAGCTATATTTGAGTTTAATTGGCTCAAATAACACTTAAAACTAAGAAGTCTAATCTTGCTTTAAGTTTTCCTTAGTGTGCTTCCATATTTGTGGTAATCTCTTTTCCATTCCCCTTTGTGTAACACAAAACAGATGATAAGTCTTTTTTCAGGATAAAAACAAACCAAAAAGGCAAAATGCCTAAGGAAGCTAGATTTCTAAAGAGAAAGAGCAGAGAGTTCATCAGGGCCCAGGCCCTTAACACGGCCAGGAGCTGGGTCCCCACCCTCCTTCCCCCACCCCCAATGAGGACAAGATGTGTTTAGTTCTTAGAGCTGCTTAGAGCATTCTGGTGCAGAGCAGGGATCAATGGGGGATGAGAAACCAGAGGAACTGGAAGCCTTAGACAGAATGGTTCTGTTCAGGAGCTCTGCAAATATCCTATGGAGACTAACTCTTCTTTGTCTGAGCAGGCTTCCTTCTCAAACAGGAAGAGGAAAAGGCCCCTCAGAGAGACAGGATAAGAATAGCCTCCAATCAAAAGAGGATATCCTGTGGATCCTGATGAATTACAGAAAGGCCAGGGAAGGGATTCACTCATCTCATCAACATTCCTATAGAGTAGGAAAGAAGGTGAATAGTGCACTTGGACAATCAGTGTTCTCAGCTATTTAGAAGGGAATATGATGAAAACCTCCTGAAACACTATCCCAAGCACAGAGCACTGTTTATGGAGATGCCTCATTAGGTCCAGTCAGGCTATAGAGTCATACTCGAGGTCTTCATTGCCCTCAGAAAGGCACAGCCCCAAAAGCAATGATACGTCTACAAGACCACAGGGTTTCTTACATCATCCAAAGAGACAATGAATGACGGGGCTTCTCCTTAAAGTCAAAGAGAATGGATTGCACGGGAGCCCTCAGAGAGAACATTCTAAAGCTTGTGAGTTACTTTGGTCAATGTTTATAGGAACTTTCTCTGCCCACCCTACCATCCTCTGGACTTCCAGTTAGTTACCTCCTGACCTAATCAAGTGATTCTAGACTCCAGAAAATCTGTCTAAGAGAATAAACTCTGCATCTCATAGAAGCCTCCATAGCATCCCTACCACACCAAGGCATTTTAAGAGGCATATATGCTTTCATGCACTTCAGAAAGGCCCACTGATGCTCCCTCTGCCAACTCAGCCCACTGTTTCCTCTGGTCCTTGGGAGGACATCATCATGAACTCATTATCTTCCCAACTAAAACCCTTCTCCACTTATGACTTCCCTCTTACTGTGAAGGGCAGCTAATTACTGTTAAGGGCAACATCACTTTCTCAGTTCCTCAGACTCACAATCTAGGTATCATTTCTCACTATCTCTTACCACCCACCCCACCTACCCCACATCCCCATATCCAACCTGTTGCCAAGGCTGCTTGATTTCACCTTTGCAACACCTCTCAGACATGCCCCCTTCTCTCCTCTGACACTGTCACCACCCTGGTGCATTGCCTCAAACCTACACCCCTACAACAGCCTGCTGGTAGACCTGCCCACCTCAAGTCTCTCACTACTCCAACCCATCCTCCATTCAGCCACCAAAGTGAGTTTCCTAAAGCACAGGTCTGACCATATCATGCATCCCTCTCCCCCAACCTCCCATTCAATAAACTCCAGTGCCTTTCTATTGCCTCCAGGATCAAATATAAAATCCTTTGTTTGGTGTTCAAAGTCTTTAAAACTTAGCCCCTCACTTCAGAAAAACCTGGAAAGACTTGTATGGACTGATGCTGAGTGAAGTGAGCAGAACCAGGAGAACGTTGTACACAGTAACAGCCATGTTGTTCGAGGACTAACTTTGACAGACTTAGCTCTTCTCAGCAATGCAAGGATCTAAGGCATCTCCAAAAGTCTCATAAAGGAAAATGCTGTTCACATCCAGAAAAAAGAACTATGAATTTTGAATGCAGATTGAAGCATACTATTCACTATTTTTTTTGTTTTGTTTTGTTTCTTCTTTCTTATGATTCCTCCTATTGATTCTAATTCTTTACAACATGACTAGTGTAAAAATATATTTTAATAGGAATGTATACATAGACCTTATATTAGATTGCACATTATCTTGGGGAAGAAGGCAGAGAAAATTTAAAACTCAAAAGCTTATGGAAGTGAATGTTGAAAACTAAAAATAAGTTAATTAAGGAAAAAAAAAACTTAACCCCCTCTGATCTTTCCAGTCTTCTTACACCCTACTCCCCTCCTCATACTCTTCAATCCTGTGATGCTGGCTTCCTTGCTATTCCACAAACAAAACACTCCAACTCTCAGCTCCAGGCATTTTCTCTGCCTGTCCTCCAGGCCTGGACTGCTCTTCCTTCTTACCTCTACTACACCCTTCCCTGGTTTCTTTTAATCCCAATTAAAATCTTCTCTACAGAAAGCATTTCCCAACCCTTCCCCATTACAATATTTCCTATTTATCCTGTATATAGCCTGCTTTGAATAGATTTGTTTACTTGTTGTCTCCCTCGTTAGACTGTGAGCTCTTTGAAGGCAGGGACTGTCTTTTGCCTCTTTTTGTATCCCCAGTGCCTAGCACAGTGCCTGGCACATATTAGGTGCTTAATAAATGTTTCTTGACTAAGAGACTGGACAAAATTTTCATCAACTGAAAACCAATCTTCTGGTAAGGAGACATTCCAAACCTAGGCTGGTCCTTGGATATCAGTCATTCAGTGTGTTGTAAGGTTGTTCAGGGTTTAGTAACACCTGCCAGAAGACCAACACTCTCTAGTATAAGCTTCAAAACCCATGCTTTCACCTCCACCTCAAGAGGAAACATCAGCATAAGATTCCAGAGTAGAGAAAAGGCAGGATAAAAACAGTAAAGAGTGTGAAGACATCCACCAAAGGCCAGAGTGACTTACAGCTTTCTGCAGGGAGTCAATAAGGTTCTGCAGATCAATGTCATCTCGGTAAGACTTGATATTGATCTCGAAGAACTCCCTGAACCTGTCCCTCACCCAATCCTGGAACAGGAAGGCCAACACAGCAACTGCCAGCTCCAGGAAAAATATCAGCACAATGGCCCCACAGAACTGAAAGGAGAAAAAAAAAGAGAGAGAGAAGGGGAACAACAGGAAATTGTTACCCAATTCTTCCAGTCCACAGCCCCTCTGTGAAAACTTTCCCACTGTTCTTAGTTACAAGTGATCTCTTTTTCCTGAACTCCTTAGCATTTATCATTGGGATAGGGATAAGGGACCCTGCTTATGATGTTGGCCTGCAACCAGATAGGAAGCCACCAGGGAGGAATTTCACCCCCTCATGCAGCCTGGCACCTTCTCTACAGCTTAAGGATCTCAGAGAGCTTCCCACAGCAGCGGTGTCCAACTTAAATAGAAAGGGGAAAGCCTTACAAAAGGCTCCCTGTAGGCTCCGTATTGACTTAGAAAACCACACATTAACATTATCTACATATTTTTGTTTGTTTGGTTAAATATTTCCCAATTACATTTTAATCTGGTTGGGACCCAGCCAAAGCCACATCAGGCCTGAGTGTTTGACACCTCTGCCCTAGAGCATTGAGAGGTTAAGTAGTTTGCCTAGGGTCACACAGACTTGGACTTCAATCTTCCTGGCTATGAGGCTGGCTCTCTAGCCACACTATCTCAGGGCCTCACAAAGCACTCATCTATTAAAACTTGAGGATCCATATTTACTCTCCATTAAGGCAAAATCTCTATGAAGACAAGGCCCATTTTATAAGATGCAGTCACAGATTTATTCATATATTTATTACTACATAGTAACATATTAATGGGCAGTTAGATGGCACAGTAGATAGAGTGCCAGACCTTAAGTCAGGAAGACTCATCTTCCTGAGTTCAAATCTGACGTCACATACTTTCTAGCTGTGTGACTCTGGGCAAGTCATTTAACCCTACTTGCCTCAGTTCCTCATCCATAAAATGAGCTGGAAAAGGAAATGGCAAACCATTCTAGTATCTTTGCCAAGAAGAATTGGACATCGCAGTGGATAGAGCTCTGGCCTTGGAGTCAAGAGGACCTGAGTTCAAATCCAGCCTCAGACACATGACACTTACTAGCTGTGTGACCCTGGGCAAGTCACTTAACCCCAATTGCCTTACCCAGAAAAAAAAAAGCAAAAAAAAAAAAAGAGAATTGAACATGACTGAAACTGAACAAAAAATGTATAACATCAATATATTCATATTACTTAATATAACATGTATGATATGTATACCATTGATAATATATTGCTATGTTAATAATATATTAATGATAATATTTATTATCCTTAATTTGGAGGGAATAACTATTCCAACTCACTCATTTTATGGATATGGCATTGAGGCTCATATTCAAACCCAGTTCTTCTTGATCTGAAATCCATCAGACTTTGCATGCTGCTTTTGCAGTTCCCAGGACTTCTAATACAGTATTTCACCCTTAGGAAATGTTCCCATGCTTGCTAATTGATTTGCTGAGCTTCGACCCACCACAAGAGTCACAGGGAAATTACAGATTTGCCCAGAATTAGAAAATGTTAGAACTGGCAGACCTTTAGAGACCAGTGAGGATGGAGAGGAGAGGAGAGAAGCACATAAAACATTCAATGTGTGCTATCCAAATTCAGAACAGGGAATACAGAATGATTTGCTAAATATAAAAAAAATAATACTTTGCAAAACAATGTAACAGGTGTTTTCCCACCAGATCCTCCTGAATTGTAACTGAAAGCATCTCAAAATGAATTTATCTAAATGTAACTCTATTTTCTCAAAACTCCATAAATATTCTTCATTTAATTCTACCTAAAAGTGATGGTTTGGGTTATTTTTTTTTCCATTACATATCTAATGGAGTAAAGGGGAAAGGGAGGAAGGGAAGAATAGCACATGGAAATATAATTAACAGGAGGAAATCACTACATATTGATCTTAATCCTAGGGAATAAGGAGACAGGTGCCATCTTCCCCTCCCCACTGGATATCTTCCATGTGTCCTAGAGGTGTGAGTATGCTGAGGACCAGGGGAGAAGCACTAAATAGCTCTACTAACTAACCAAGTCGAAGTCTTCAAAAGTAATGTTAATTGGCAGACTGTGATTGACAAGTGGGCACTGACTGCTATAGGCACTTAGCTTCCCAGACCTGACCCCCTTTCCCAGTTTTCCAAATGAGCAGGGAAATCTGTTCTCCTCATCCCTCCTCCACCACAGTCCCCATACACTTGGGCCCAAGGTTACTTACAAACTGCAGGAGGCAGATGTTTTCCCTCAGGGCCCCCACACAGCCAGCAAAGCCCAACGTGAACATCACCACCCCCACAATCAGGACCAGCACCACAGGATCCACACCATGGAGACGAGTCACTTTGGTCAAGTCTGAGAGCACACCCTGAAGACAGCCAAGGAGACAGCAGAGCATTAACTCCAGCAGAAAGACAGGTGAAAAGCATCTACAAAGGAGCTCTACTTGCAAGTAGTATAAACTAAGCTAAATGCACATGGTCTCTGCCTTCAGGGGGCTTATTCATTTCAGAGGAAATGTCACAGTCACACTGGGTTAACCAAAAAGAAAATCATCACCTTAGGGTGCACTCTCCTCTTTTATGAGACCTTCTTATTACTCTTATTACTAGTAATTATCATCTAACCCTAACCCACCATCCTTTAAATTCAACGATTTAATACATATTTATTAACTACTTACTATATGCAAGTCTTTATGCTAGGGATTAGGGATAAAAAGATGGGGAAAAAAAAGCAAGCCCTTCCAAGAAATTTACAATCAAATGAGGTGGGTTGGGGGAGGCAAGAGAGAGAGATGGGGAACACAGAGAGAACATGCATATATATAAGTATGATACAAGAGTGTTGGGGGGGAAAAAAGAAGAAATCCAAACAAAGTAATCTAGAAAAATCTGAGGAAGGAAAAAACAGAGGCTTCCTATAGAAGGTGACATATAAACTGGGCCTTGAAAGAAGGCAGGGGTTAAGTTGGGATGTCGGATGAGGGGGCTAGTATGCACAAATGCAGAGGCAGGTGAGCATGGGATAACATATTATAACAACTGGCTGTCCCATGGCTGGAGAGGCGACTATGTGAAGTAGAGATATTATGAAATAAGGCTGAAAATATTGGTTGGAAAAAGACTGGGAGAAAACTGATGGATTTTGAGCATCTGGGATATTCACTTGGCAATCATGTGAAACATGGAGTGGACATAAGAGGGTATAGAGGCAAAGATAGAGGCCTAAGCTAGAAAAAGGAGGAAGGAAATGATACCAAAGAGAATGTATACTATGCAAGATTAACCACATATTGTCTTGTATTGGTTTTCCCAAAAAAGGCAGATACTGTACCTTCTTCTTCTCTCATACCACCCCCAAAAGGGCTAGATACTCTGAGTATTCAGTGATGATTAAAATATTAGGAAGGTGCCTATACCATCTGAAGACTAAAGATCATTATTAATAGTATTATAGAATTGAAAATATTATCATGAAGGGAAGGTGCAGTACCCACCTTTTTGGGAAAACCAATACAAGACAATATGTGATTAATCTTGTATAATACACATTCTTTTTGGTATCATTTCCTTCCTCTTTATTCTAGCTTAGGCCCCTATCTCCACCTCTATACCCTCTTATCTATAAATTATCATAATTTATAGAACCACAGATTTGTAACTAGAAGAAACCTCTTTGAGGCCATTAAGTCCAACACCTTCATTTTACAGATGAGGAAAATGAAGCCCAGAGTGGTAGATGATTTGCTCAAGGGTCATACAAGTCCTACAGTACTATTGAAAAAGGATTCAAACCTGGGTCTGATTCCAAGTCCAAAGCTTGAGCCACTACATACCACACTGCCTCTCAATGACAAAAATTCAGCCTCACCCATAGAGCAGAGAAAAGCTCCATGTTGTCTTTGATGAAAGAAATAAAAGCACTTAAAAGGGGGAGGGGAAAACAAGGCAATGGACTGAAGTCTTCCTGAGAGCTATGTAGCCAGCTCAGTTTAATCCACATGAGAAAGTGAGATCTGATCACTGGCTCTTCTTAATAAAGAACAAAATAAGAATAAGGAAAATAAACATTATTATCACCAGGTAAGGTTTCAGCCTTTTGGAAAATAACATAAAATGTTTCAGTTAATTCAGAAAACACTGAAGAGCTCCTAACCAAATTCACACAGCCCAATTTATGCAGACATAGACTGAAGCTACCACAAGGTGGTGCTACAAGCCCACGGTTTGCACAAGCTTCAAAGTCGCCACTTCCAGTTTAAGAACTTAACCCCGGATGCTGTCACTGGCTGCCCAAAAGAAGACCTCCTAAAAAGAAGCTCTGGGGACATCCCTAAACTTCTAGGCAGTCTTTCTTCCAAATCCTCACCAATCACTCTACAAAGCCGGCTTTTTAACACTGCATGATCCTTGTCTAAAGGATCGTTGTACAAAGATCATGTAATCAGGTTAAAGCTAGAGTAAACCTTTAAAGATCCATTTAATGAACTTAATTTCAATTTAAAGATTAGGAAACTGAGGTTCGTGAGGACACAAAGACCTTACAGAGAATGGCAGAACAGGGATCAGAACTCAGGTTTCCGTGATCTTTCCACCACATCTCATATGGCTGGCCTTTCAGGGCCTAGCCCTTAAAAGCAATTTTAATAAAACTATCATGCTACTAGAACTGGACCCCAGGAAAGATGTTATTATTAAGTACGTTCCCTCTGCCGCTGGTGCCTGATCATGCCAGATCCTGACACTCAGTGTAATGGTTTAATGTGCAGCTTTCCCTAGACCTTTCAGGACAAAGAGACCTAGATGCTGAAGCTTTGATCCTGTAGAGAGAGCTGATGGCCCAATTCCAGTATCAAAGTCACACTCTAATGATGAACAGTATTATCTAGAAGCTTCAGCAGGGAGGGAGGTGAAGCATCAGTTGAGATTCCCCAGAGAGAACCCAGGAATCAAAAATTTAAGAAAGCAGCTGGCCGGAAAAATGAATACCTGGAAGAATACATAGGTTTGAGTTACACTTGGTTGTAAGAAGGCAGATGTGGGCACAATGTAAGGAAGAATTTTTTTTTCCATGGGGACATCCCTTTAGTTTCCAATTTTAAAAGGTAGGAATACAAAGGACTACACATTGTGAACAATTAGAGACCTCAAGGATCATTTAGTAGAAGTCTTTCTTTTTAGAGAGAAGAAAACAGGGGCTAAGGGAAATGACTAAGTCAGGGTCACAAGGTCACTAAGGCAAAGGTAGCCAGCATTGGACCAGACCTCTCAGGTGCCGGGGAGGAGCTGATCAAGGATTATAGTTAAGGAGGGTAGGAGGCTGATGATCTTTGGTTTAAGGGCTGTCTGATCATCTGACTGGGAGTGATGTAGGGCCCTGACCCCTGGATCTGTCTGGGCCCCAAGTCAGGCAGGAGTTGACCACTGGAGCAGCCAGAACTCTCTTCAGTTTCTGTACTGAGTCCTGCCTCCAAGGGCTGTAAGCATTGCATGCTGTGAACCTGGGCTGGCCCAGGGGGCCTTTGTGGGGCCTGGTTCCAGAAAGTTGCTCCCAACTGCAAGTGAGAGTCTGATTTCTTCTTCTCAGAGCTTTGTACTATCTGGGCATAATCTATATCCTTCTGAGCTGGGAAGTGCCGGCTGGAGCTCCTTGGGGAAATCTGGGCCTTTTCCTGCTTGAGTAGATCAAGGGGCACTTCGCCTGGGAGATCCAGGGAGGATAGAAGGCTACACGGTTTCACCAGCTGGGGGTAGATAGGGTCAAGCTCGGTCTGCATCTTATTTTCACAGGTTATAATCTGAACCTTTACTTCCATCTTGACTGCTGGAAGGCTGGCAGCTCCTCTGTGGTTGGTGATGGCAGTGGTGGTGGTGTTGGCAGAGGATGTTGGGCCCTTTCTCCACCAGGGCTGCACCCCTCAAGGACAGTAGCAAGAGCTGCCTGCCGATTCAGGATCAAGGTGCATTCACGTCAAATTACACGTGAAAGTGACCTAGGTTAGGATTCCATTCCTCATTGCTACATCCCCCGGGGAGGGCAGGAGTTGTTTCTTTGTTTTTCAATCTTTGATCTCTTTCACCCCCTAAGGCCCTGCCCAGTCAAGACGATTTAAGCAGTGGGGGCTTAATCTTTGCTAAAGGAGTGAGCATGTGGAATGGGCTGCCAGTGCTCCCTAACTGGGACTCTCCAATGCTAGAGGGCCTTCGGTGGGGGATACGAGGATGCTTGTTCGGCTCCTGGACGGGCTGGATGGCCTCTGCTCTCCTCTCCAGCTCCGGAAGCTTGGAACCCTGAGAATGAATGAATGAAGGGAGGTGCTGGCAGTGATTGACAGAAGCACCCGAGAACTTCACAGGGTTCTTCGACAGGCGGGGAGAGAGAGAGAGAGAGAGAGAGAGAGAGAGACTGAGAGAGACAGAGACAGAGAAACAGAGAAAAGAGAGAGAGATAAGGAGAGAGAGAGAGAGGAGGGGGAAGGGGGAGTGAGGAGGGGGAGAGGGAAAGAGGAGGGGAGGGAGAGAGAGAGAGAGGGAGGAGGGGGAAGGGGGGAGAGAAGGAAAGGGGGAGAGCACGCTCAAGAGGGCTAGAGAACGAGAGGACAGGAAGAATTTTCTTACACGTGGAATCATCCCAAAATAGTATGCATTGCTTTAGGGAGACAGTGAGCCTCCTCCATCACCAAGAAAGTTTAAAGAAGCAGCTGGATAGTAATCTAGCAGAAATTCTGTGAAGGATATTCCTGCACTGAAAAGGAGGTTGGACAAGACAAACACTAGTGGCCTTTCCAACTCCTAAGATCTCATGATTCAAAGGCCAAAAAATTTATTTAAAAAGTACTGGCTTTGTGTGGGTTTTAATCAATTCAAATTTTCAACACCAGCACAAATAATGCATGAGGCTACGTTTAAAAAAAATTAAAGAGGAAAAGTCAAGTCTGAACTAGCATTTGTTATGGTCAACAGCAGCCCTGGAAGCCTGCCAAAGGCAGAGACAAAGGCTGCCTTGCTTCATGGCTTGAGGGGTGTAGAGTTTTGGGGAAGGGGGAGTCAGTCAGTGGGGGCTGGGAACGACATGTTTGCTGTCTTCAAATATTTAAAGAGCTACAGTTCAAGAATGTTCTTACCTTCTCGCTCCATGCCCAGAGTCCAACAGCAAGAAAAACAACTCCAGCTAACTGGAAGAAAGAAAAAGAGGAGGAAAAAAATTAACCAGAGGTCACGGACAATGGAAGTCCAACTCAGGCACATTCTTGGTATAATACATAGTCAGCCGATCAACATAAGAGGCATAAGCCACAGTCAGTGTGGTCAACATGACATGCATAACCACTCTAAGGGCAGGCATGAGTGCCACGGATCCACTGTGTTAGTGGGTCTTTAAAAGACATCTATCAAACTATTATGTGAACTGAGCTATTTTTCAGCCTCAGAACAAAGAAGCTGTTGTCTTGTTGGCTTTGACTTTCATGAGGGAATGCAACCACTTTAGGACAAACTTGGAACGCTCTCCCAAGCCCTTTAAATTATTCTGGTCCAGATAAAATAGGAAAAAAATGAACTTTTTGGAAGGGGAATTTAGTAAGATTACAGCTCTAGTTCTGTTATTGACCTGATGCACAAGCAGTATATAGCAAGTTATCACATCTCTGCAGAAGCTAAGAAATGTTGCCTCATAATCTGAGATCTGTTCTTGGGAGATTTGTACTTAACTCTCTAGAAGATGATCAAGACATGAGTTGAGACCTACTTCTGATGGATAACTGGCTCTGTGTAATTATGGACCAGTGATTCTCAAGCGCCTCCCAGACAACTAAGTCCCTAAGGCTGTAAGTCGCTGAAGAGTTGCTAACCTGCATCTGAATTCATGGAATCAAGATTCCTGCCACCAAAAAAAAAAAGTACAAAAATTGTGCTAGCTGCTAGAGATACAAAGACAAAACAAAAATCCCTAGCTTCAGGGAGCTTATACTCTATTAAGGTGATCAAGCAAGTATCTTCATAATGTCATCCTTGATTATTCCTTCTCTTCCCCTCCCCCACATATCCACCTCTTCATCGTCTCTTGACTTTCAACCTCTAACCTAATTCAAGCCCTCATCACTGATCACTTTGGCCTAGCAAAATAATTGGTCTTCTCAATTCCAAGTCTCTTCTCCTGCCAACCCATTTTGGAGCTGCTATACTGATATTCCTAATTCACAAGTCTGACTATATAAATCTCACACACAGAAATCTCCCATGATTCCTACTGCTTCTAGGAAAAAAATACCAAGTCGAAAACTTACCAATTAAGGCCTTCCATAATCCGGCTCCCATTTACTTTATCAGTATTATTTCTTGTTATTCTCCACATGCTCTCCATTCTAGACAAACTGGCCTCCTAGCTTTTGCACTCATCATCCCATCTTTCATCTCCACAGGTGGTCTCCTTTACATATACAGCCTGCACTCTCTCACCTCTACTTCAGAAGCCCTGGGTTCCATCAGAACTGAAAAAGATTGCTGCATGAGAAGGGCAGAGCTAATTTCTCTTCTAATGCTAGGATTTATTTCATGTAGTTCATGTATTTTTCCCTTCAATACACATCTTCATCATGTGTATAACAGTGACAACTCATTATTATATTATAGTAGTATACAACTTCTAAAGTGTTGTTTTTTTGTTTTGTTTTGTTTTTTCACAGCCATCCTATAAATTATTGTGAATGCCATCTCATTTTATAAGTGAGGAAACAGAAGTCTAGAGAGGTTCCCTCTCTGGACTCCACTCCTGACTCTGGACTTCTCTGCCATGTTCCTGCAACCTGGAAGTTCATTCTACTCCTGGCCTTCTCACACTGGAAGTACACCTTTCCTGTGATTGGCTGGCCCCTCCAGAACCTTCATTGTAAGCAAATCATCTTCATTCTTCTCCAGGCTCCACTCAGGTCATTCTCCACCAAGCTGCTAGTCCTCCTCCATGGTCTTTTCAGTTTTCTTTTGTGTGTTGTCTCCTCCCCCTCCACTAGAATGTAAGCTCCTTGAGGACAGGAGCTATCTTTCTGCATTGGTATTTCCAAAGACTGGCACTGTGCCTGGCATATAGTAAGCACTTAGTAATTCTTTTACAGGCTTGACCTAGGTCAAACACTTAGAGGTAGAGTATACAAAGGTATTACCCACCACCAATAGGTTACACACTTTGATACATTTTTCTTACAATGACAACAGATTTACACTGATTCACCCATTCTCTTCCCTCCAATCCATTGAGAAAGCCAACTCAGGCCAACAGAACAGTCTACATACAAGTTGAAGAAAATAACAAAACTAACTTGACCTGCCCAAGTTAGAACCAAAGTCTAACCAAGTGAGCTGAAACATCAAATACTCATCTGGCTCCTTACTGAAAAGCCCGATATAGAAAACTCATCAACATGGGGCAGCTAGGTAGTACAGTAGATAGAGCTCTGGCCCTGGAGTCAGGAGGACCTGAGTTCAAATAAGGCCTCAGCCAGTTGAAACTTACTAGCTGTGTGACCCTGGGCAAGTCACTTAACCCCTACTGCCTCACAAGAAAGAAAGAAAGAAAGAAAGAAAGAAAGAAAGAAAGAAAGAAAGAAAGAAAGAAAGAAAGAAAGAAAGAAAGAAAGAAAGAAAGAAAGAAAGAAAGAAAGAAAGAAAGAAAGAAAGAAAGAAAACTCAACAGTCAAATAATACTAAGTTGATTAAGTGCCCAATGACCTTAAACTCGAAAAGAATGACCTCCCCCCAATCTTATTTTATACCCACCCCTAAAGAAAGTAAAATCCATACAAATTCCTAATGCAAGCATTCCTAAAACAGGGCTCAGGGTTTTCGTTTAAAAAACAAAGCACTGGAATGATCTCATCATTATGTTAACGACCACCTTCCAAATTTCAGAGACTACGCTGACATAGAACTTTCTTTTGTCTCTACTACTTGATTTCTCTGCTAATAAATAACAACAAAGCCTTAACTTTCCAAGCATGTTTTCCTCTTGGGTCTCCTATTCTTTACTCCTTATGAGTCTACTTCTTCTGACTTATGTGACCCTGGGCATTAATGCTACCATGCCAGGGCTCTCCCTCTGCTGATTGATTATCTCCAATTTACCCCATCTATACCTTGTTTGCTACCACATTATCTCCTCCATTAGATGGTGAGCTCCCTGAGAACAAGGAGTGTATTTTGCCATTCTTTTTGTCCCCAGTTCTTAGTGGAGTGCCTTCAATGCTTTCTTGCTTGATGACTGACCTAATGAAGAGAACTAGTAGTCCAGCCCTTAATAAAAGGATTTGTTCTGTGAAGTTTGGATTCAAAGGGCTGCACTTGAGGACCTAGAGGGCCACATATGGCCTCGAGGCTGCAGCTTTCCCACCCCTGGAGGAGATGATCTCTAAGGCCTCTGGCTAACTCTAAGTCCTTGTAATACAGGACCATAACTTTATAGCTGGAAAGAACCCTAAAGATCATCTACATCATAAAATGTTTAAGCTGAAGATGTCACCTAGCCAGTCCTTCCATGATACAGAAGAGATGATTTGCACAAGGTCATACATTTGAACCTAGCCTAACTTTCCTTAGATCTTTCTACTAAACTAGTGGATGGGGAAGATAATTTCTCCTTTTCCACTTCACTAGCATTTCCATAGGTTTCCTCACTCTCAGGGCTATTCAGCACTAGGGATCTAGAGAAAGTCAAAAACAGTCCCGGTTCCCAGGTGGCTCACAATCTAACGGAGACAAGAACTGCACAAACAAGATGGATGCAGGAGATCCATCTTGATCCAAGATCCAACTGGATATAGTCAGTAGAAGAAAGTAACTAGGTTATTAAAGGGGATCAGGAAAAGCTTTTTGCAGACCTCAGGATTTTAGCTTAGACTGGAAGGAAGCCAGGAAGTAGAGACAAAGAGGGAGAGTATCCCAGGCATGGCACAGCCAGGAAAAATGAAAGGAGTCTGATGGAGTGTATATAGTGTGCACAATGGCAAAGACATCCTTTGACAGATCAAAGAACAAGCGGTGAGGGAATATCTAGCTTGCAGAGTCCTCCAGAGGTTCAAATAAGATAATGGCAATCATCAATAAGTATTTATAAGACCTGGTAGGAACCAGGCACTGAAAAAAAATAGCCCCTGCCCTCCAGGAGTTTACAGTCTAAGGCCAGAGGGGAGGAGGGTGACCGTACACAAAAGGAAGTGGGGGGGGGGAGCCAGAGGAATGAGACACCAGAAGAAGATAAACCGAGCAAAACAACTGATGGGAAGTGAAGCTGGTTGGAAAATTCTGAGCCCTCTATAAAGGGACGCTTTGGGAAGGAGTTTAAGGCTTGGCCCTCTCTTCAGAAGAATGTGTGTAAAATATGTAAAAGCTACACGGTTTTTGTTTTCTTTCAGACCAGTAATATCCTCTTAGTCTTAGAGAGTGGCCGGGGGAGGGGGGGGGTACTTGGAAGTTAAATGATTTGCCCCAGGTAACCCTCCAGGAAGCATGTGGGGCAGAACTCAAACTCCAGGTCTTCCTAACCTTATCATTCCTGTCTATGCCTTACTTTTCAAACAGCCTCACTACCGATCATCGTTATTTTATTAATCTCTTTCTTTGCCTCCCCTTTTCCTGGCTTAACATCCCTAATTCCTTCTAACATTACTTAACGTTTGGATTAATTAATGTCATAGCCTGGGGAGTCCCTCAAAAATAATCCAATCTATAAAGGTTTGAGCTTTTAAATAATTCAGATGGAGGGTATATTAGCACCACCAAGTAAAACATGAGATTCATCAGTCAGTGAGTTCCCACTAAAAGGACATTGTAATAACTAATACCTTGGTCCAAATAATAGGCAATGAAATACACTTCCCTACACACAGAGAACAGAGGTGAAGAACACTGTCAGATTTCTGTCACTTTACTGGCTATTTGTCCTAAACGGTATTTATTTGTTACAGAGGCAGCTAGGTGACTCAGCAGATAAAGGGTCAGGCCCAGAGTCAGGAAGATCTGACTTGAAATCCGGCTTCATGTATATTTACTAGTTGTGTGACCCTGGGCAAGTAATTTAACCTGTTTGCCTCTCAGTTTCCTAATCTATAAAATGGGGGTAGTAATAGTACCTACCTCCCAGGGTTGTTGTGAAAATAAAAAGAGATAAAGTGCTTGGCACAGTGCC